TTACCAGCTGGCTTAAGTTCTTCTTGTTAGCATGTGGCATTTCAAACCAGCAGCTCGCTGAGGTAAATAGAGTCTTGCCTGCCTGCCCTCGAGCCATCTTTGGTAAGGAGTGAGGAAAAAGGGAGGGAGAAGGGGAGGACCCAAGCAATGCCACAAACACCTCGTGTGTCCTGGGGTAAATCACTTAAACTTGGCACACCCTGCATGCCAGCCTCTAAAATAAACTCACTCCCACAACCCATATCTCCTGGATTTGGTGTTCTGGGGTGGGGACTGTCCCAGTCCCAGGGCAGATGGCCACAGCACACTCCATGTCACAGAGGTGTGCAGCTTTCCAGCAGCTTTTCCAGCACTCCCTGGCCCAGCCGGGGAAACAGCAGAGGGCCTGGGGAGGGCAGATGGAGGGGGAGCGTTCTGTGGCTGGCGGTGCCGCACGTCCCGCTGGGACATCCCAAACTTGCATGAGCCCTAAACCCCCATGGCTTGCTTCCCACTAATGCTGACTCACCCTTTCCCCAGCCTGGCCGCCCTGCTGAGTCAGGGTCAGGCCGGACCACCCCGTATTGCTGAGTAAAGGTTTTGGGCTGTGGCGGAGGGGCTCTTTTGCTGAGTCACGGAGCAGGGTCCACGTGAGGCTGTTGACCAAGGGGCGGTTTCCTCTGCACCGCCCCGAGACTGCAGCTGCTGCTCTTGGCCCCGGTCCCACGTCTTGGAACAATCAGAGAAATCTCCAGAAGGAGCCCCGGCTGCCCACAGCCCTTGGGCTGCACGGCCCCGTGCTGGGGGAAGACACACGGACCCCGGGGGCAGGGGTGCTTTGGACACCTCGGGGTGTGGGGGCTCCTGGGTCTCCCCGTCTTTGCCAAACTTGTTTTCCTGCTCCATCTCCTCCCCTGCCCCTAGAAAGGGGTGTGAGCCGTGGCACAAGGTCCTCCTCGTTGCATGGGTGTGATTTTCAAGTCCAGAGTTTCACAGTTTGTCCTGTCACACAGTTAGGGCACGTTTGGTTTTACACCGTTGTAGCGCTGAAACAAAGGGGGCAGCATGGACTGAACCTGTAGCACAAATGGGGTTTTTATTTGCTAACTCTGCCTTGCACACTTCCCTTTAGCTCCCAAAGCAAATCTCCAGCAGGACATGGGGTTGATTCCCACCAGCACCAAGACTCTAAGGAGCACGGTGGGTTCTATGCACCCTCCCACAACATTTCAGCCCAGCGTACCCACAGCCTGGAGACCTGCTTCACATTTTAGGTCGCTGCCTGACCCTGTGCCTCTGGTCACACAGCAGGCACGTGCCTTGCAGGGTGCTTCTCTGTTCTCCCTCCTCTCCCCTGCTCTGTTGCCACCAGCCCAGAGCTATCTCCTCGCTCACAGCCATGTGCTGGAGACACCCCTGTGCTTCAGCACGCACACATCCACACGGCTGTAAAAACGTGTATTGTAATCTGCAGCTCCTATCATTGTCATGCTGGTTCATTCACCCCTGAGAAATCTGCCTGCACCTCCAGCTCCCACCACGTCGGTCTCCGGGGTTCCCAGGTGTGGGATTTGCCCAGCACAGCCCTGCCAGTCTGTAGGACCCTCCTGAAGTGCCGGCACAGGGGGCAGCTGCAGCGCCTGCCCTCCCCGCGGGGACCTCCGGTGCCCTGTGCTCCTGACCTCCTTTTTCACCTCTGTCTTTGATGTAGACTTGCCCTGATGGATGTTTACAACGAGCACAGTCAGTTCCTCCAGGGCTGGGCTGAGCCAGGCAACCTCCCTTTGGTAAACACGACTTAACCCCCCGAGCACCCTATATCCCCCCTCCCGCACTGACTCCCTGCAGCGAGTCATTCCAAGCCCTTGTTGCAACTTTGTCTATTTTTTTCCCTTGCCATGACACAGCAAATCCTGGAGACTGAGTCAGCGTTGCGGGTGCAAGCCCAGCGGCTGTGTTTTGCTGTGTCATGGTCTGAGGGAGCCCACGAACCCCCCCAAGCCAGCTGGAGGCTGAGCCATCAGGAGCTGCCTGCCAGAGCCCCGCGTGGCACGGCGCTGCCCACGCACGCTCAGCAGGGCTGGCTTGGCATTCTGGCTGCCTGTGTAACTGGGCATT